CCAGTCTATCGGCCATACTCTATTGCACACGTGCGGTCCCGACATTATCATATGTCGCCCAGTTCTGCCACATGCCGCTGGTTGTTCTTCGCCTGGAGCTCATGATCTTGGCGCAGGTCTTCCGGGTAGCCTTGGGCACGTTCCCGCTTTCCTGCTGGTCCCTACTTCACGCCTGGGGAGGTCCTCGCATCACGCGCTGGGCCTTCATGGGATGTGCGGCGCTTGCCCGTGCAGCTCTTCATACGTTCCCGCAGTACTACGACATCCACAATCGGCTCCGACATCATGTGGCTACTCATCCTGATTGGTGCACCCTGGAGATGTTTGGCTCTGGCAGATGCTACCCGCACTTCTGGCGCTCGGAGGCGTTCGTGGAGATCCTCCAGCGGGCTGCTGCTGGTACCCGCACTGGCTCACCGTCACCGTGCTGGTCTCCAGACTGGCCTGCTGTGGCTGCGGCCGCGGCGCGTGCCGCGCTGGCCGAGGATGCAGCCCATCGTCCTCGCCCTCAACGTGCTGCTCATGCTGCTCTGCGTGCTCTTGGCCCCGCCGTCTCGCCGCTGGTGTCCCTGCTCCAGACGCGCCTTGCCAAGCTGCTCCCACGGCACGCCTCCCTGGTCACCTCCCTCCCGTGGGACTCAATCGCGAGCACGTTGGCATCCTGCCCCTGCTCCTGGGTGTCCTGGCTGCCCCGACGCTCTTCGACATTACGCCCGTTGCCGCCCCTTTCACCGCGCTCTTCGTCGTGCCCTGGCTCGCCCTCTACCTCTGCCTGTGCTTCATCGATGGGGGCTGCTTGAGCCGAATCTGCCCGCCTTCCACTTCCTCGCAGTCGCGTGCGCCGCCTACAACGCAGCCAAGTGTGTGGAGGGATGGCCGCTTTCGGACGAGTCCGCCTTTTCATGTGCCCTGGCTGGGGTGCGCTCGGCGGCGTTGGCTCGCCCAGTTGGGATCTCGGCCCGTGATCGCTTGCGGCTTCGCCCGCGCCGTACGTGTCCCTCGCCTTCGTCCTCCTCGGCTTCCTCTACGAGTTCATCTTCGTGTCGCTCGCCGAGGCTGACCCCGCCTGTCTTTGTCTCGTCTAGCCGATCTGCGTCGCCACAGCCGCCGTCGCCTGTCGGTGGCCTCACTCCTGCTGTCTCCTCGCCGTCGACGCCCCCTACTGAGATCGCTACCGACCCTGGGGATATTGAGTCGCGTGAGCAGGTATTTCCTTCTCAGATCCAGAGGTGGACCAGTTCGATCTCGATTGCCATTTCGTCGAGCTCGTCGCCTTCGCAGTCCTCATCTGACCGTGACCGCCCTGCTCTTCTGCCCGTCTCGTATCCCTCGCCTGGTTACTTGTCTTGCACCTCCTCCAATGCCACATCCCCGATTGCTGATCGCCCTCAATATGTGTTTGACTCCTCTGGGGACTGTAGTGCTCCCACGGTCCCCGCTGTCACGGAGTCTGCGGGCCGCTGTCCTCTCTCTCCTCGCTCCCCTCGTCCTCGGGTGGGTCTCCCTGGTGCTGCTGCTGCTGTCTCCCCCGACTCTCTTCCCCGCACGCAGCCTGCGTCCTCGGCGAATGCCCCCACGCTGCGGCTTGGGCGCGGCATTGGCCGCCTGCCGCCGCGATAGGAAGGCGTAACGAACCTCTCCTACGCTGGTCTCCTCCTCCTCCTCCTCCTCCTCCTCCTCCTCCTCCTCCTCCTCCTCCCCCTCCTCTTCCTCATCCTCCACGTCCCCCCTCCTCGTCCTTCCCCCTCCATGCCTCTGCCCTCCGCACCAGTCAACCATGTCGGCGCGCCCCTCACATGTTTTGTAGCCCCCATGGGGGGCTCCACCGGATGCCCACATGCCAACGCTCGCATGCGCCCGCCGCGCAAATTTGGGCACGCCCTTCACGCGTTTCGTGGCCTTTTAAGGATGCCCCACCGAATGCCCCAGTGGCTACGCTCGCATGCGGCCACCGCACCCATTCTGGCACACCCCTCACACGTTTGGTGGCCCCATAGGGAGCCCCACCGACGGCCCACATGCCAGCGCTCGCATGCGCCCACCGCGCCCATTTTGGCACACCCTTCACACGCTTCGTGACCCCGTAGGAACTCCACCGAAGGCCCCAGAGGCTTCGCTTTATGCGGCCACCGCGCCCATGTCGGCACACCTTTCACACGCTTCGTGGCCTCATAGGGAGCCCCACCGACGGCCCAAATGCCAACGCTCGCACGCGGCCGCCAAATCCATTTTGGCACACCCCTCACACGCTTCGTGGCCCTATAGGGAGATCCACCGAAGGCCCGGATGCCAGCGTTTGCATGCGCCCACCGCGCCCACTTTGGCACGCCCCTCACACCGGTCGTGCCCCCATAGGGAGCCCCACCGGCGGCCCAGATTCCAGCGCTTGCGTGCGCCTACCGCACCCATGTTGACACACCCCTTCACACGTTTCGTGGCCCCATAGAGCGCTCCACCGAACGCGGTACATACAACGACGGTGCCCATAAGTGCATTTGGTTGGGCCTTTCGCCAGGCTAATTCTCAAAAAAGGGATCCTTGCGACAGTGCGCGCGCAAAGGGCGTTCGAACGATTCCGACATGCGCGCGCGAGAAGCACGTGTGGTAAATTTGGATGAACGTGTTACAACAGTTATGGTTTCCTGAAGACGCGAGGGCGCGAGCGCAGGTTTTTCCCAACCATCCTGTGGTGTTGGGCCCTTGTTTTGAAGAGACACCGCCCCGCGTTCCTGCTCCTCGCGCCTCCTCCCCCTCCTCCCTCCCATCGCCGTCGTCATCATCATTGTTACCACCAGCATCATCGTCATCGTCATCGTCATCATCGTCGTCATCGTCATCGTCATCATCGTCGTCGTCATCATCAACATCATCGTCATCGCCTTCGGCTTCGTCATCGTCATCGTCATCGTCATCGTCACCATCGTCATCATCATCCTCATCATTACCATCACCAGCATCATTACCATCTTGGCCGTCAGCATCACCGTCATCGTCATCATCATCGCCGTCATCATTGCCATCATCGCCATCAGCTGCGGCACGCCCCTCACACGATTCGTGGCCCCATAGGGAGCTCCACCGAAGGCCCCAGTGGCTGCGTCCACATGCGTTCCTCGCCCATTTCGGCACACCCCTCACTCGTTTCGTGGGCCTATAGGGAGTTCCACCGAAGGCCCCAGTGCCTGCGTCCACATGCGTCCCTCGCTCATTTCGGCACTCCCCTCCCACGATTTGTGGCCCCATTGGGATTTCCACCGGACGCACCAGTGGCTGTGCTCACATGCGTCCCGCGCCCATTTCGGCATTCCCCTCACATGGCTCGTGACCCCATAGGGAGCTCCACCGAAGGCCCCTGTGGTTGCCTCCACCTGCGTCCCTCGCCCATTTTGGCACACCCTTCACACCGAAGGCCCCAGTGGCTGCGTCCACATGCATCCCTCGCCCATGTCGGCACACCCCTCACGCGCTTCGTGGCCCCATAGGGATTTCCACCGAAGGCCCCAGTGGCTGCGTCCACTCATGTCCAGCGCCCATTTCGGCACACACCTCACGCGGTTCGTGGCCCCATAGGGAGCTCCGCCGAAGGCCCCAGTGGCTGTGTCCACATGCGTCCCGCGCCCATGCCGGCACACCCCTCACTCACATGGCTCGTGGCCCCATCGGTAGTTCCACCGACGGCGCCAGTGATTGCGTCCACGTGCGTCCCGCGCCCATGTCGGCACTCCCCTCACACGTTTCGTGGCCCCATAGGGAGCTCCTCCGAAGAGCCCAGTGGCTGCGTCTACATGCGCTCCGCGTTCGTGCGTCACACCTCTCACACGCTTCGTGTCCCATGGGGGGTCCCACCGAAGACATGTCAGTGCTCGCATGCGCCACCGTGCACATGTCAGCACTCCCCTCACACGTTTCACGGCCCAACTGGGAGTTCCACCGAAGGCCCCAGTGCCAGCGCTCGCATGCGCCCGCCGCGCCCATTCTGGTGCACCCCTCACACGTTTCGTGGCCCCATAGGGAGCTCCACCGAAGGCCCACATGCCAGCGCTCGCATGTGCTCACCGTGCCCATTTTGGCACACCCCTCACACGGCTCGTGGCCCCATAGGGAGCTCCACCGAAGGTCCATATGCCAGCGCTCGCATGCGCCCACCGCACCCATTTTGGCAGGCCCCCTCCCCAGGCGTTTCGTGGCCCCACAGGGAGCCCCACTGACCCAAATGCCAGCGTTTGTTTTGGCACACCCCTCACACGCTTCGTGGCCCCACAGGGAGCTCCACCGAAGGCCCACAAGCCAGCGCTCACATGCGCCCACCGCGCACAGTTTGGCACACTCCTCGCAAGTTTCGTGACCCCCATAGGGAGCTCCACAGACGCCCACCGCGCTCATTTTGGCAACACTCTCACACGCTAGGAAGCTCCACCGAATGCAGTGCATGCAACGACGGTGCCCACAACTGCATATGGTTGGGGCCTTCGCCTGGCTGATTTGTTTTTGTTGCTTTTGTGTGTGCCTTTCTTTATTGATCGAAAATTCCTGTTGCGGGCCATGGTGTTTTACGTACCATGTTTTGCAAGGGTTATTGTCAATTGCTGTCTTTTTTGGTAAGCGAGTGTACGCGCATATGATTTGTTGCAGAGGATGGCGGGCGGGCGGTGCAGGGATTGCCTAGGATGATATGGGCTCATATTTAGGCTCAAGCCATTCAATGGCGGATTGTGACATTTTCGCCCGTCCCTACCCTGGGCCGCGGTGAGCCCGCCTCACATCCTTACGACTCGCACCACACCTGTCGCGCCAGCCATGGCGACCTCTCAGGCTGCCGCTGCTGCCGCTCCTTCTGCTGAACCGGCCGATGCTCCGTCGACCCCAGCAATGGCGTCGCCGGCACGTGCGCCACGACCATCGCGCAAGGCTGGCACCCTAGTCCACCAGTTGATGTCGAATAACGTGTGGCAGAAAATGCAGAGGGGCGATAAGAAGGCACGCGTTCGACAATGCCCAGATTCCCCCTACGCACCGCTGTTAGGACAGCAAGGAGTGGAGGGAGAGGAGGGAGATGGCTGGATGGAGATCCCAGCAGAGAGGGATGTGACGACCGGCCAGAGCGAGCGACCTTTCCCGCAGCCTGACTTCAACGCTGCTGCCGATGAGCCTGGCCCAAGTCGTCCGAGCAAGTAACCATGGCAGGCATTGCAGCTGTCTTGCAGGAGCAACTGCGTCTTCAGCTCTCACCTGTCACCTCCGCGGTGGACTGTATAAAAAAGGAGTTCACGAGGATGGATGGCAACCTCACGGACCTGAACACAACTTTATCCTGAAGGGCATGAATATGACAGATGTGCGGGTGGAAAAGCTTGAGCATTTGTTCGAAGAGACTGGTAGGAATCCCAACCTCGCCAACGATGCCTTAGACACCAACATCCGCGAGTACGTTCAGGAGTACATGGCGAACCAACCAAACTATACACACAACGCAGCTCAACCGGATTACGCGGGGACGCAGCACACCCATACCGACAAGCGCATGTTAACAACAATTATCGGTAATTTGGACGGCCTCGACGATTTAGTCTCGGCCACGACCTGGCTCCAGGACAAGATCGAGGCCATGAGCGGGCCACGACCTTCTAAGGTTTATGCCAAGGGGCAATACAAGGGTATCATTGTTGCAGAGTTCAGAGACCCTGGGGTTCGAGATCTTTGTGTCGAGCTTCTCCGACGTGCTGGGCTGAAGTGTGGTACCAAGCAAGTGTGGGCCAGCCAAGATCGTGAACCTTTCGATCGCGCTGCTCGGAGTCCTTGCTTTGGTTTGAAGCGGTTGTTCAGGACCGAGTGGTCGATCTCCGACACGGTGAGTGTCACGGAGGACCTCCCATATACCATCACGGCCGGCGGGGAGGAGGCGGTCACGGTGCACGTAGAATCATACATTCGGAAGTGCGAGTGGCATTGGGAATTGGAATCGTGACAGGCTCTGCAAAACCATCCAGCCGTCAAGGAATCGAAGAAGAAGGCCAATGACGTCGTGACCCGCGCCACCTCGGGCATGAAGGGCTCGGTCAAAGGCAGCGCCAAGGGGATGGCAAAAGGTGTCCCTGGGCGCCTTGGGGAAAAGGAAATGGCCCCCGGTGATGTCTCACCAGCATTGGCAGTCGGCACGATTGCCGTTATGAGCTCAAATCGATTGCGAATTCAACGTGTGCGTGCACATACTCATGCAGTCTACCAGCCCGCACTGGACGTGGAGACCCTGGTCTTCGAGGTGGGCCGCCGCATCCATGCAGACACCATGCCAGCGGTGTTGGTGACCCTGTAGTTCGAGGAGGCCAGTTGCAACCTACGGAAATTCGCACTCCTGAGTTTGACGAAGCTGCGGCTCCTGAACATGGACGGCTTGATCTCTATCTGAATTCTTGCTCTTCTCATCCAGGGCGCGAATACAGCGACATTGGTGCAGACCAAGACCTAGGAGAGTTTCGTTCTCGAGCCCATGAGTCTTCCTGGGGGAGGCCGAGGCGCGCATCCCAACCATGCAGATTACAGCGCATAGGAACATGGAACGTTCAGGGTATCCGCGGCAATTCTGCCATCAAGGTCGACGGGCTGCTGAAGACCATGGTGGAACAAACAATGGATATTATATATTCAAGAGACATATCAATCCCCCCGGATTCTATACGCGAGACGGTTTCTCTGTACTCTTGTCTCGGAGTGTGCACATGTATGACAGATATTATGCTGGTGTTGGCTTTATTGTGTCACCTCGAGTGCGCCCCGCAGTTGTTGCACTCAAGGCGCGCGGTGATCGAATATGCATGATTCGATTGAAGCGCATGGCGGTGCACTTGCCGTATTATCTGTTAGTGCCCCATTGAGCGGCATCGAACATGAAGCGAGGCAGCGATTTTCCCATGCACTTCAAGGTGCGTTTCGCCTTATGATCAGGCATGCCACTGCGTATACTCTTGGGGGCTTCAAAGCCATCCTTGGTCGAGTTCGCGTTGGGGAAGAAGAAGACGTCGGACCACATGTGTTCAATACCGTGCGCACGGCTAATAGCGACCCGCAGTCGAATCGGAACTTTTTGGTTCCGCTCTGCCTGGAAGGGTTCTTATCCTGTTCTCTTAAAGGGCCGGGCAGTGGAAAACGCCCCGGGCGGTTCCCCCAGGATCAGCCCCGCGGTTCCCCCAGTCCCCTGGGAGCTTTAGCTTTAGCTCTAGCTTTAGCTTAACTTTAGCTTAGCTGTAGCTTAGCTTTACCTTAGCTTTAGCTCAGCTTTAGCTGGGCTTTAGCTTAGCTTTAGCTTAGCTCTACCTTAGCTCTACCTTAGCTTCAGCTCAGCTTTAGCTTGGCTTTAGCTTAGCTTTAGAGTAGCTTTAGCCTCGCTGTAGCTTAGATGTACCTTAGCTTTACCTTCGCCTTACTTTAGCTTTAGCTTAGCTTTACTTTTGCTTTAGCTTAGCTTTACCTTAGCTTTACCTTAGCTTTACCTTAGCTTTACCTTAGCTTTACATCAGCCTTAGCTTAACTTTAGCTTAGCTTTACCTTAGCTTTACCTTAGCTTCACCTTAGCTTTAGCTTAGCTTTAGCTTAAGCTTAGCTTAAGCTTAGCTTAAGCATAGCTCTTTCCAGTTTTAGCTTAGCTCAATCTTAGCTTTAGATGAGCTTTGGCTTAGATTTAGCTTAACTGTAGCTGAGCTTTACTGCTACTACTAATCCTGCTTTCCTAGGGGCTCCAACTCCTAGGTAGGGTCGCACTGGGATAATACTACATTGAAGCTTGTGTTGCTTGCGGCCCCATGGTGGCCAACGCCTATTTCGACCAACCTGGAGGCCGGAAAATCTCCAATCGTGGTTTGGGCATACCACCAATGGCAAACGTAGACAATGACGGTTTTGGACAGGTTGATCACATATTGTGCCATCAAGGCAGCGCGGCAAGTATCGCCGATTGTTGGACCAGCCGAGAAGTTGCATTGAACCCGCAACATGTTCTCCTTTTTGCAAACGCGCTGATAGAGTTCAAAACCGAGGGCGCCCCGAAGAAGAATCATTCCCATGAGACAGTCTTGAAAGCTTGAAAGAACCCGCGACAAAGGGTGCATTCCTGCGCGCTTTCACGAGCGCAGCTTGCACAGACTACAGTAACTGCACGTTGGAGGGCGCCGCGACGGACATGCAGCGGGCGTCCCATAATGCAGCTTCGACTCTACCAGAGAAGGCCGTCAAGCCTAAACGCCCGTGGACAAGTCAGCGGGCGCTCGATTTGATCGAGGAGAGGAACGTGCGTCGGCGAAACGGGATTACATCGGCGAAAAGCACCTCAACCGTATGATCCGCAAGTCTGGGAAGCAAGACCGGATCGTGCGGCTGGATGAGTATCTGGCCGGAGGTAGTCAGGCGCCGCGCGACAAATTCGCGAAACAAAGTTGTTCAAACTTGCATGGGTTAAGAAACCAGTCGGCCATGTATCTGACGCCCGGGAACGCGCAAATATCATGACAGACAACTTCGAACTAGTGCAGCGGCAGAGCCGAGAGACCCTGAGCTACAACCATATGCTCTTCCACCACTGGGCGATACTTTACCTATTCGCACACATGGTTTAAAGACGCCCACATGTGGAAAAGCTGCGGGCCCAGATGAGACCCCCCCCCGTGAGTTTTGGATGGCGCCCATGTGCGATGAGAGCGCCAGTTGGGCGCTGTTGAATTTATGCCAGCAGCGTTGGGCGAAGAAGCCTATCCTGGTTTCGCGGAGGCGAGCAACAGTAGTTCTTCCATTCATGAAGGCGGGGGGGGGGGGGGGGGGGGGCTGCATTACCGGAGAAAAACATGCCCATATCGTTACTTCCAGTTGGCTATAATATTCGCGCCGCGCTCGCGCATCGGGGGCTGCTGCAAGGTGGTTCGGAATAGCGCGGGCGCCTCTCAGTGCGGATTCCCCCCGGGGCATGGGGCATCTGGTGCCCTCGCGCTTGCGGGGCGCATGGTTGATGCTGCGCGCGCGAACGCGGATCGGGGCCCATTGGCGTTGACGGGGCGCAGCCAGAATGAAGGTGCAAGTTTTGGCCAGATTCGGGCTACCTGCAGAGATCGTGGAGATGGTGCGTTTTATGTAGTCGGCTCGGTCCTTCGTCATCAAGGGCCGCGCTTGCACCTTTACTGAGAGGCGGCGGAACTCTGGAATCGCGCAGGGGTGCCCTGTATCCCCACATTTATCGATGGCAGTTCAGACCGCGATGCTGCGCGGCGCAATCGACTCGATACCTTTGGAGGAAGAGCTCGGGCACGTGGTGGCGCGGGATGTTCTGTGTGCTGACGACGCATTGTTCGCGTCACAGGTGCAATCTTATCTACAGGCAGTGTTGGGCGCCATCGCGGGGGATGGGCGCAAGCGCGGGCTGGGGCTCAACTGGAGGTGGGCTGCGCAGATGCAGATATCTACAAAACAAATGAGCACGACGCCGAGTGGTGGAGCGGCAGTTCGGGATGCTGTAGCTCAGCAAAGCACGGGCGCGCGCTTCTCTTGGATGAGGACGAAAATGCAGGATCTACGAGACCGTCGTTCTCTGCAAGTTGTGATATTCATTGGATTCTGTCTGGCTGTTGCATGCAGACAGATGCCGGCTCGATGCTTCCCGTTGCCGATGCTTGCGACGTACTCGTGGAACCCCGCAGTCATTTATTTCGCGGGTTGCGAATGCTAGCGTTCCTGGCAGGGCTGGGGCGAAGCGGCTGTCGGGGACATCAGTCCACGCCAGAAAGTTGCCGCGCGCGGACCTACTTCTTTGGCGAGGCGACTCGTCTGCAATGACGATGGTGCGCCGAAGTGATGGGCTCGCGAGCGCCGGCTTAGACGGCCAAGACAACAGCGGGCGCCGTCAGTCTACAATCTGTCGCAACACATCGGAGCACCTGTTGCAGTTTATGAAATTTCCGGTCAACCTCCTTCCTCCTCCTGCCCCTGTCGCGCTGCCCGTTCTCTGCCCCCCAGTCGGGCGCCCCTTTTTTCTGCATCGCAGCCAGGCGATCTTCTGCCGACGCGCCCCTTCCGGGTGCTCGGCTCTGAATGTGCGTGTGATGGGGCAGCGCCGCTTGCGCTCTGAGCTGCAATGCGAAACGGGTGGCGCGTTTTGCTTGGCAGGAGGTAGGTCCAAATGCATTTTCAGAAAATGAGAGTGCATGTTGCGCGCTCTAGATGTTGCGCAGCGCGCAGCCCAGGCGGTTCAACATATGTTGTGCAAGCTACGCGGTGCAGTCGAAGTGTTGCATGTAATTTTTGTTTGCAGTGAGTTGTTAACTCCACTGCTCGCGCAATCGTCCCGCCCGCCCGCCCGCCACTTGGTCTGCAAAGCCCGCGCGGCTGCACTTGCTGTGGGCGCTTGGCGTTTGCTTGTGATTCTCTGCGGCCGCGCTAGCCCGCGCATGCTCGCGCGCGCAGCGGCCTGCAAGCTTGGCGCGTCCGCCGCGACCGCGGTGGCGCTGACCGCCGGGCACTTCCCAGTGCGAGTTGGCGACCTGGGCGGGCGCGGGATCACTGCAAAGTCGACGGCGGTAGACGCGAGGATGCTCGCGGCGACGCTGGCGATGATGGCGGCAGCGACGACGGCGCGGCCAGCGAGGTCCGCCTAGTAGCACGCCGCGAAAAAAGGTTCGAAGAAACCGATGGTCTTCTTAAGAATTTGCAATGGCGCGGTCGCAGGCTTTATGTGAACAGCGATGTTGTAAAACCATGTGTTTGCATATGTTTTCGGGGCTCTCGATTTTGACGTGCTTGCGGAACCCGCGTTTTCTGAAGGATTTTGTCACGCGCGCGCGGCGACGCGACCGCGCGCACTTCGCCCCATTTGTTGCAGGGGATTATTGCGACAGCGCGCGCGCAAAGGTCTTTAAGAATTCGAGCGCGGGCGCGCGCTTATGTTTTGTTAATCCTTGTTGCGAAGCCAATTTTTGTCGGGACACTCGATTTTGAAGTCCTCACTGAAACTGGACTTGTTGAGCGATTTTGGCATGCGCGCGCGACTATGCGCCCGTGCGTTCTTCGCTCATTTGTTGCGAGTAATGGTGGGGAACGGATGATTTGTGATGAGCGAGTGCGTGCGCATAGTGTTTCTTGCAGCGGATGAAAAGGGGAGTGGAATTCTGGTTGAGTTGGGATGGTACGAATTCATGCTTAGGGTGGGCGAAGGGGCAGAATCGCACGTACATTGCGGTACGAAATTGTGGGCCGTGAACCCCAGAGGGGGGTACATGTTTATATCCTCTAAGAAAGGAGAGCGGATGTTCTGCACCCTATGTGGTGCAATCTATGTTGTGCTATCCACTTTGCGCAACCAATGCGGTGCAATCTGTGGTGCAAACTATATGGTGCAGCCGTCTAAGTGATATTATCTACGCGGTGCACTCTTTGTGATCAATCTTTGCGGTGCAAGCAGTTTTTGTCCGCAGCGAGTTATCAATTCAAGTGTTCGCGCAATCATCCCACCCACCAACTCGCAATTTGGTCTACAATATCCACGCGGGGGCGATTGCGACAACTGTTCGGCGCCGGCTGGCGCATCGATGCGGCTGCGCTGTCGCGCGCATGCTCGCGCGCAGAGCGGCCAGCTAGTCTTAACGCGGCCGACGCGGCCGCTGTGGCACTCACCGCAGACAAGTTCCCACCGCGTCTCGCAGGCCGCGCCGACGCGCGGGCGCTTTGTGCGAGTCGTTGATTCGGCCGGGCGCGGTATCATGGCGACGTCGACAACGGCCAGGACGATGGTGATAGTAGCGATGATGGTAGCGGTGATGACGACGACGACGGCAAGGCCAATGACGGCGCCGATGCGGATCACGCCGATGACGATGACGATGTCTTCGCGTCGGTGGTGAAGGGGTTGGAAAGAGTTCGACATGCGCGCGCCGCCGGCGCGCGCAAGTGGCCCGCATAGCGCTATCTGCCAGGGAGTGGTCGCGCCCCTCCCCCCCCAGCAAGCGCGCAAAGGCGCCACATGATTTCGA